GCCAACTACCTATATGCCCCTATTAGGTTAAGAATATGTTTCTCTTTTAGTCTTACTATATGGTGTGGATGGTTAAGGTGTTGCATCCTTAAAGCTTCTAAAGTCATGTGGCTTGATGTTGATTTTGATGTGTTAGTTCCATTTCAGTCTTGGAAGTTAGCGTAGGAATCTTTCAACATGTGTCTAGTGAAAATTCTATTTGGTTGAAGTTCTCTTCTTTAATGGTTGAATGCACTTGCGTTGGCTACTGGTTAACATTATTTTTTTGAGACTGTTAACATTGCATTGAAGGAAGAGAGAAATTGCAAAGGTACGAGACAGCCTGGGGTTGAGCGAGGCCACCGAGAGAGGTGACAAGGATTTTTTTCGATTGTCTTAGTAGGAATGGAAACCTAGACCGGTAGATGAGGCTTAAGTAGTGCTACCACCACGACCTCAAACTCATTCCCTTCATAAAAATGGGCACCGGGCATTTATGAAAGAAACTCGATCCTTTTAAATTTCGAGTTCTAGAGTTTAAGAGTGAAAGATGATGTGGGACCAATTTTTTTTATCACTTGAAATTGTGTTGATCTAAATGCTTGTATGAAGTATGAGGCTTCTTCCCAAAACCATTGTGGATGTGTATGATGCTTTTTTTGAGGATGGGGCTGCATAAGCATGGTTTTGAAGTTTGAGCCCTAGAAAGCTACTGGTGGAGGCAGAATTTCATACTTAATCCTTCATTATGCCGGAATTTGAAGACATTCATTGGCATGAGACCCATCTTGATTGGTTCTTTGGAGCTAATTGGTTGGTTACCTTGGGTTTCTTATTTAAATGCAGTTCTACACAAAGGTTGACTTCCCATATGGATCAATTTGGAGCTTCCAGATATGGTAGAAAGTGACCCTTTTATGTTGTAGTCAATTAAGCAAAAAATCAAATCGGAAGAAGCCTAAATTCTCAGTACAATGATAAACATAACACGAAATAAAAATAAAAAACAAAAATAAGAAGTAGCCTCTACTCTGGGGGACAACAATATGATAGGTTTTTCATATTTTATTCAAGCTTTTTGATGAATGGCCTTGTTAGTGTAGCTGAATGGGTAAGGGAGGTCACATATTCTGAGCTTGACGAAGACTCTGCAAGTGGATACTTCAGAGGAGGATTTGGTCTCCTACTAGACAAGGAGGAGTAATATTTCATGTTAATGGATGGATTGGGTTCCTTAATATCTATTGTTGCAGAGGAGTTGCAAGTAGTTGAGGGAGCTTTTATATGGGACTAATTCATTTAGTCGTTTGTGCACTAGTAATTGGAAATCTTTATCTGATGACCTTTCTGGTGAACTCGATTAGTTGAAGGTTTAGCACATCTTTCTGAGGTTTATATGCATCCCATGACAGTGCCTAGTTGAGTTGCAGATAGTAGGTTTACTTGGGAAATGGATCGGTGCCTCCGAAGAGTGAAAGAATGTTTATTTAGTGTTATGCACTAGTAATTGGAAACTTCGATCTGATGGATGATTAATCTTTCTGGTGAAGGCAATTAGTTGAAGATTTTGCACATCTTTCTGAGGTTTATATGCATCCGATGGCTGCGCCTAATCAAGTTGCAGAGAGTAGGTTTACTTGGGAAATGGAATGGTTTGTCCGAAGAGAGAGAATGTTTCTTGAGAGAAGTTTTAAATTTGGGTTGTTTCCAAAATCAGAGATTCTTGGAAACGTCCTGTTGAAATAGGGGTGATGTAAAGGGAGTTGTTATGAGATGGTGACGATGCTAAAATTCCATCACTGCAATTTGCCAAAATTCATTGTGCTTTCGTATAGTCATTAACTGATTATCTGTGGTTCCATGTTTTTAGGCTAGCAACTGAAAGCTGAAGCTCTTCCCTTTAAGCTGTCGTTGCAGCTCACCATAAGTTGTTTTGACCAATGTTTCATAACCCTGGATTGGATACCAGACCACCGATTTACTGGTCCATATCGGCAAAAAATCAGGAAAAGTTTTAAATGTTAGTATTGGCGCGATCCAGGAGGGGGAGAAGGATCACCCACCCAGTGATTCTATTCCAGATCAGTACTTCTTGGGCTCTCTGGGTGGTCAAATGAGAGAGAGAGAGAGAGAGAGAGAGAGAGAGAGAGAGTAGTTAGTAA